CACAACCGCCGTGTCTCTGTCGTTCACCACAAAGGTTAACGCGCGAAATGCTGAGGAACGTTTCTTTGCACAGACCTTACAGTCACAACGTCCTTTTGCCGACATCTCGAATCACTCTGGCTGCCCGCGCGGTGGCCGTCTACACGGTACATAACACGCCCGTCGAGATTATGTTCGGCACGGGTGTTCTCCTTCTCGTCTCACCCTTCAGCCATGCAAATCCTCTCGGACAACGACCACGTGAGTCCCGCTCGGTCCCATCCTCCCGCGGCGCCGTTGAAAATTCAAAAGCCACGATCCCAGACGCCTGTCACCGACGCATCAATGTCCACCCAGGTTGTCACCTCCACACGTATGTCAGTCTTTCTCACACCGTCGTATCCACACGCCGACGCCATCTGTAGCCGACGTCTCTTCTTCCGGCCTCCCACTCGAGATTCTCGAAAGGATCATCAAGGACGCCTGGACGGATGCCTGCTCGCAAGACGAACAAGCCAACCTTTACTGGACGCTTTTCACTACGTCCCCAGTCGTGGCTGCCGTTGTCGCAAGAGTCGCCATCAATTTTCCGACCCTTTACATCGATTTGGACGCTCCAACTGCCGGCGCAGACTCCGAACTCTGGGGGGAGGCTGTATTCGACTACAAATGTCTCACCAACACTCCACGCTTCTCGTCCCTCCCACAGGACTCGATCCTTCCCATCGGTCACAATGACCCTCCATACCCCCGTTGCAGTCAAGCTCTCCGCAGACCTTGGAACACTATGGGATGTACCCCGAGCAGGCTGGTTCATCCCGTGGGGTAGTCTCGGAGATCGCTCCTTGAGACTGCTTTTGGAATGTAAATCGGCGACTCTGGATCTCAGGTCATTCAACGACGAACTCCAGTCCCTCTCCATGGACTTCGTTCTCTCTCTTTGGCGATTTGCGTAACCATGCTTCCTCACCCACCTCTATCTCCGGGCATCGTTTTACGATTGTGATGCGTACCCTCGCTTCGAAGACACATGCTTCCCGGCACTCGTGTTTCTCCGGTTACACGATCCCCTTGTATGCCTCTGCGCCGGTTTCGGAGATCAAGGCCATATAGCGAGCTGTATTTTGTATGGGATGGCCAAAGCCTGTCCGTCCCTGCATAACTTGCAGCTCGACACTCCCTTCCCCCTCGTCGGATGCACACTTCCAAGGACGGTGACCACTCTCACGATTAGTGGTGTTCCATGGGGCTCTTACCCTTGGTGTCGCGACGACGGGCCCATGACCAGCGTTGTCGGGTATGACCTGGTGACTTCGGTTCGTCGCGGGCTCTTTGGTGGACCTGGAGGGCATGTTGGGAGTAAGGTGGAGGTATTTTCTGTTACTGACGATGTTTTTTTCGACATCGTGCGAGCAGAATGCATGAAGTATGGGGTTTTGGTAGTGAAAGGGGAAATATAGCTACTCTTTCTTTGTAATGTTGGTTCCTAGTGTCCCGGTGTACGCCCTCATCCGAGGCACTACCAGTATGCTTAGTCATGTATACTACGTTCCCACACATTGTACAGTACTATGCCGCCGTATCGTCCTAGATCAATATCCATTCTATCATCCTATCCACCATCGTCGTCCTATCCGACACCCTGTCCGTCATCCGGCGTCCTTTCGCCTCTACGGCTCTCTTCGTCCACTGCTCGATTCTTCACATGTAATGTTTGCGACATGAATTGTAGCAAAGTATAGTTTCGGATCCGTTCCATTCAACGATATACACCTCGGTTTCCCACAGATGTGTGGTCGGCTGCGGTGGAGCTCGCAAAATGCGACTTCTGCGCGATGGGGCTCCAAACTGATGTATCGGTTGGCTTGTAGACTCGGTATACGCCGCGCTGAGGTTGCACACCGCGCTTCTCGCGCGACGCGAAGATGGACGAGGCGGTAATGCGGACGGAGACGGAAATATGGGACAGCGCCGGATGTACAGTATACACGCTCAGCGGAGCAAGGCAGCGACCGACTGTCCCTCGAAGACGCGAAGACTGTATCGTAACCAGCGTAATGCGATAACTTTTGAAATGAGGCTGCGAACCAGGTGCCTGCCGCGACCCCCAATAATGGCAACGAGAATTGCATCAAACTGGACAGATTTACATCAAGCAAATTACGACCACGAGGCTAAGTCTACTGCGGTGGCAGCTTCGGGATGATACCTTGCGGGCCTCACGGCGAATGACCCGGTGGGTCAATCCGCTGGACCCCAACTGGCCCTGTACAAGGTGGGTATCGAGTCTATGCATCGCAGACAGTGATTGCTCACCTTGAGCCTCCCCACGTTCTTCTTCGTGTAGTGGTTGGATGGGTGGGGCTGGCGTTTTGGTCGGAGAGTAGGGACAGCGCGTGAAACGGTTAGACTCACTTAATGGACGTGCACGGTGCCCTTCCAGGACGGTGCCGTGAACGAACGAAGAGAGCCTCCGCCGGTGCTCGTGCGCGCGCCGAGGTTTTTCATCGCGTTCAACTCGATGTCCTTGAATTTGATGGCTTGAGGGTCGACGACGCCGTAGATCGCATTGAAAGTCCACTCGTCGTCAGCACGTTGAAGACGTGATTAAGAAGATACGTACGTGCTTGTTCATAGTGATGCTAAATGGCGAGTGCGTTGAAGGAGATGGATGGAGAGGACGAACAAAGCGGGAAGATAAAATGAGCGAATAACGAGGGTACGAGAGAGAGTGAGGGGGTGCAAAAACGAGAGAGCGATATTTTGGACGAGAGCGAGAGAGCGAGAGGAAAAGGATCTGCGACTGTACGACCAGGACGAAGTACCGTGTAGGGGAGCGGGAGCAGACGGGCCGGCGAGCACTCCGAGAAAGTCGGACGCGCGTGTAGCCAAGGGCGTCTGCAGACACCGGGCCGGTGGACTCTCCGAGGAAGTCGGACGGGTGGCGACGGGTGGCGACGGGCGTCTACAGGCCTGAGCCACGACGGGCAATGGACTAGCTATTTAGTACTCAGTACCAGTACTCATGCAAAACGTGCCCACGCGCCTGCGCTTCCCGCGCCTTTTACCAAACTGTAGCTCCAACGAGAAATAGCCGCTCCCGTATTCGTCCGCCACCATCAGCTTGACGCCGCCACATCACTCGGCCGTCGAGGGCCCCCGCGACCCCCCGCATCCCGTTCCTCCAACATCCGGTTCCAGAACGAGTATGTGTATCCCCGAATTTGTTCTTGGGCTCAGTGCATGTCTGTGCAACAAGAAACTGAGAGGCCCCCGCCTAGCGCTCTGCCAGCAACTGTGTAATGTCTCCTTTACCGTCGTCGAAGAGTGAACCATGAGCGCGAGAGGCGGAGACAGACTCCAGGCGGGCAGGCCGCGGATAGACAGACGGATGGAAGAGGTGAGGGTTGAGTTACACGAAGAAAAGAGGGGCCACGCGGCTAGATACATGCTGGAAAACGTAACAATTATTTGGGGTCCTCATACTGTCGGAACGCCTCTCCCCTTGCTACTTCCTCTAATGTTCCTTTTACACGTCTGCATGTATGTCTGAAGGCCGCATCGGATGTTTTCGTCTGTCCTATATCGCTCTGGGATGTCACCTTCATCCGCGAGGACACGCTGGAGATAGCGGACGAAGTAAGATGCGGCAGCATCATTCCACCTGTCGCGTCTCTCTTTCTCTTGCCGAGGCAAATGTCCCCGGAAGTCCATTCGAAAAGTGTGCTTCGAAAAGTAGATGTCGGGATTTTGCTCGAACTGTGCTCTAGCCTCGTGAGAAACGGTTTTTTTAGCCAACGCATCGTACGTCGTTACGCTGCAGAGGCTAAAAAAGACGCGGCGTATCGAAGCCTTGACATAGCTGATCAGAGGACGTCCGACACGGATTTTCGCATTCAACTCACCTGCAGGCCCAATAAATAATTCTTCTCACGTGTGACAGAGCCGTCATCTGATGAATCTTGTGGCGAGAGCAGAATTCTGGAAGCGATACTGGTTCGAGCCCGTGAAGGCCGACTGTGATTTTCGCGGCCTTCGACGCCTCCTTCAGATGGTGGTGGACGACTCGATTCCTCGGGGGGCGACTCCCCATTCGCGCAAACGCCATCCACGCGGTTCTTCAAGTCATCAACAATGACCCTTCATGGAGTCTTAGCGCCGGTCGACCGAGTTCTAACTCAGACACTTACTCTAGGGATCTTACATAGATGCGCATATCTCGTGAAGCGCTTTCCATGCTTCTCAAACGATTGGAAATTTGAGAGGAGACGGTTTGGCTGTCTTCCAGTTCGTCACCATGGATGACACTGCTTGTGGGAAACATCCCCTCGGTGTACGTGGACACCGTGCATGTAGAGCTCGGGATTTCTGTAGACGTCTCGTCTGTCATCTCTACGTCGGAGTCAAGTAAATCTGTGGTGGGGTTGAGGTCTTGATCCACGTCGGCCATCTCGATGTCCAAATCCACGACGCGGAGGATTCCACTGCTATTAACTGGCCCCACAGTAACCACGCCTAATTGTAGGTCATCAAACGCACCTCATAGAAGTTGTGGCAGGTACTCACTATTCACACTTTTATGATCCGTCGCGAAACGAAACCGGATGTCCCGCGGTGGGGTGCCCAGAGGAGTGGTGGAAACCATGGTGGTAGAAATATCACACAATCGATCGCCATGTGGGAGACGGAGCGGCGGGGAGCCCGGAGGCGTAGTTGAATCTGCTTCACTGAGCGGCTCGTATGCGTCAAGTATACATAACTCGGACTCACCAGCAGTCTTGTCGTCCGGTACAGGCATGCGTACGTTGTTTTACGGAGCTCGAACGGACCTGGAACTGTGGCGCAATCCCGTTGTAATATAGCTGCGAGGACGGCTTCTCGTGAAACAGCCGTGGAAGATGATGGTCTTGCAAGCGGCGTAGCATTCAGGCATACTTTGGGCATACCGGCATTCAGCATGTAGCGTTGTCACTCATTGAGACACCTGGAAGACTCTCGTAAGGCAAACAGAAAGGAAGGGTGGCATAGTATCATGCATGCTCCGAAAGCCAAGGCACACACAAAGTGCGTTAAAGTGAAAGATGTGGCATTCTATGAGTGATTGCAAACAATGAGAGCAATGAACGACGTGAGACAGCGATGACAAGGCTAAAATTGGGAAAAGGAGCCTTACAAAGTACATCAAAACGGGTACGGAAGAAGTGAAGGACTGGCTGGGAGCGGAGCGTCGTGGAGGAGGAGGGACTTTCCGAGCGTGGAGGGGGCGTGGAGGGGGCGTGGAGGGGCGTGGAGGGGCGTGGAGGGGCGTCGCGACGCGGAGCAAACGCGCGCTAGGTGGAGGATGCGGGGGAGGAGTGGAGAGTGAACAAAGAAGCGCGGAGAGGCGTCACGGCGGGGGGGGCTCGCGGAGCGAACGCGCGCTAGTTGGGGGACAAACGTAGACCGGTTCACGGTGACGGACTGCAGAAAGGGACGCGGGGGAGGGGAGAGTGAACGTTTGGACAAAGGACCACAAGCACAAAGACGATGCAGCTCACCAAGAGTGGAGCCGCACCGGCAGGCGGTCAGGTGGACCAGATCAGGGACACCGGAGTGGCACAGAGCAGCGGTAAGTTGGCGACGGCGCTTGGGGCAGGCGGGGTGCTGGAGGGTCGGAGGGGACGCTGGAGGGTCGGCGGGGTGGACCGAGGAGCCGCCGCCGGTCGTGGTCGATGTTACGGTGAGCTTGATGCCTTGGGGAAGGACCGTGGCGGAGGCGGAGAGTTGAAGGCATCCCCAGACGGGCTCGAGTGTAGCCCTCGTCAAAAACGAGCCGTCGAGGCAGGACTCCGATCGGGACGGCAATGTCTGCGAAGCCCTTCAAGGTCATCAACAGTGACAAAGCCGAGCGCTTCCTCCAGACGATCGATGTCACGCCGCGGTGGGCCAACTTCCAGTCCAACTTCCCCACTCTGGAGTCTGCGGAGTCTCTACTACCCGTCTCGCAGCTGTGTGGAATGCTCGACGAGCGACCCGCGGACAGTGAGTAGGTTCGTCGCGTGTGGTACCATCACAGTACTTTGATACCTTTGTCCAACTCGCCGGCCCACCCCAATACCTGTCCTACACGTGGCTGGCATCTTTAACACTTCTATCGCCTTGATGAACTTCTTCCCTCCGATGTGCTTTGTTTTCCACGCGTTCTGTCGTCCTTATCGCCAATCACCACGATTTCCAATGAAAAGTGTTTCGCTGTTTCTTATCTATGACGTCGCATTCCGGACACCTATAAATTGTCGAATGGCCTATGTGATTTTCACTCCCTTCAGCCATGGTCGACTTCGATGCCGTCGAACGTTTCATACTCGATCAATTTGGGTCTCCAGAAATGACTACCTCTGATGGGGAAGCCATTGAGATCGACTCCGACGATGACTGTGAAGACAACGGCGTCCTCACTGCAAATCCCCGCAAGGTGAGCCGTAGATCTTGTTTCATGTCTTCCGAGTTTTGAAGTTGCGTTCTAGTCCAACATAGACGACACGTGGGAGCTGCCATTGACAGCGGACCAACTTCAGATCACCGCAGTGCAAGAAGTGGATGAGGTGGGTCTACAACAAGGAGGCTTCGTCCTCGCCACTTACGCCCACATATTTCGTGCTCCGGCAGCTTCTGCCCCCCGTTTCTGAACCTGTATCTCGTCTGGCAGTCCAACGTGCGATCTTTCCGCGTGAGTATTCTGTTGTTACAGGCGACGAAGTAAGCCTTCCGTCTATGATGCTACGTGTTGACTTGCTGACCGCCTCTGTTAGCTAACTACAAACACAGTAGGCAGTTGACGCCGTACCTCTGATGGTATTGCTGCTTACCCTGGGGATAACCTTTTAGCAGAAATCTGTCGATCTTACGGAAGAAGACCCATGCGACATACGAGACCGCTATGACACCTCGACCAACCCACTCTCCTTCGGAAATACACCTGTCTCGCAAACGCTCATGAAGGCTGTAGTGCAGCGTCTCGGGGACCGGGTGTCCGAGGTCATGGCGTCACTAGCCTATGAACAAAACTCTCTCGAGGTGGAAGGAGGGGAAAAGTGGTATTTCGGGATATTTATATGGGTGGCGGTAAGTCATACTCTTAGCTTCCTGACACTTTGCTGATAGTCACATAGAACGGCGAACTCCCCCTCCTCCGATTTGCATCCATATCCCATCTAACCGCACACGTCCCCCTCGGTGAATTATTCGGTATCCGCGACATTCTCGAGCTGCTCGGACTTCAAGAGGTGCTTGTTTGGGACCCGATTCAAAACGCCTGGAGAATGCAACCGCGCCGGTTTGTCGTGAGAGCATCATGGGAGGCATGCTTTTACAGACTGTTCATAAGCTTGCCCGGCGTCGAGCTTCATCCCCACTTCGACGCTTTGTGGGAAATATGCCGGCGCTGCCCTACATAGAGCATGTCACTCGGAGATATCTCAACCATCCAATAGCATACGTATGCAATTCTTTGGCCGAACCTGTCAAACCATCGCTGTCGCTGCCGTCCTCCGATTTGTCGTACTTTATACTTGGGACCTCGCATTTATACGACACACTTCAGTGGGGTGGCCTTTCTATGATTTACCCTGGCCTCGGACCAAGAAGAGGGAGGTGGATGAGGACGAAGCCGCGCGGGGTGGAAAGCAGCCCGCGCCGTGGACCCTGTCGTAGAGAATGGAGCAGCGTTGCGAGGAGGCGGGGGTCGAGGGAGAGCTCTGGCGTCGATTCCTGGTGTGTGCGTTGACGGTCGTAGGGGTGAGGATGAGGAGGGATGAGGCCGGAAACGGTGAGTACGCACCTCACGCTCGCCGCGCAGACCGGGACGGCCGAGTGAGGCAGAAGGGCCAGGGACTGTGAGGAGGTGTTCCTCGAGCACAGCCAGTGCCTCGATGACGTGCGGGTCGATCCGCTTTTTCGGACACGCGTCTCACGGGCCGCCGGCGCGTACTTGCCAGAGCACGAATAGTATGAAGTATTCTACGAAACAAATCATTAATACGCCCTCTACGAAGGGCGCTCCCAGTCGAGAGCGCAGAGCCGGTCCCACTCCGCGACGTTGAATCCAAGTTGGACGTTCCCCAGGTCAAGGGCGCGGATGGGCTTGTCCCCCAACCTGTGCGGAAGCACTCACCCGTCTAATATCTTCTATCGGAATATCTTCCCGTTACCCGACTGTTTCTTGCCCGTCTGTCCTTTCCCCCCCGCCTCTGTGCCATGTTTCAGCAACGCTCCGTCAGCTTGCCCTCGCACGTGTAATAGAATGTGACTCACCAGGTGCCAGCCCCACGACTTCTTCGCCCGATGTGGGATGCTACAGCGGCCATGGGGGAAGGTGACGCTCCCGCCCTTGTTCTTCTTCACTTTGATGAGACCTCCAAGGCCCATCTCAATGGCCTGAAGCGCACATGTAAGCACATCGTCGTAGCATTGAAGCCGAAATCCGTGCCTTACAAACTACTGCCACCTCCATACCCCCGTCCGTGTCCCGCATAATGTCTTCCAACGTCTGCACGCGATGTTCAAACTCATCATCCGCATACAGAGTGGAGGTCGACGGTACGGGATGAGAGCGCGCGTGGTAGAGGGTGAGACGTGGGAGAGAGAGAGAGAGAGGGAGAGAGGGAAAGGGGAACTAGATTGCGTGGGGCCTGAGCCCGTACATTTAAGAGAGCTAGTCGCCTCGTCACATAGAAAGCAAACAGAAACTGAGGGAAGAGCGCATACAGTCCAAATCGGGTCCAGAGTCCATGGCCGAGGCCTCTCGTCCACGCACCGTCCTTGCGTTCCCCAGACCCTCAACCATCGACTCCGGCGCTGCTTGAGGTACGTTGGGGAATGTCTCGAGCGGGGTGAGAACAGCGCACAGCGATTATTTACAGAGCGCAGGCCGCCCCCGTTCAGCCGCGGTCGCGTGCATCTGTCCTGGCCCGGCCCTAGCATCCCGACGTCATTCGAGCGGGCTATCGAGGCATCGGTTCTGCTCGTAGGGCGCGACGGACGCTACTTTAGAACGAGTGGGATATTAGCTAGTGAACTGCGATGAAGAGAGAGAGTGATTGAAGGAGAGTGAAATACAATGATAGCGAACGAGTGCTCAGGTTCCAGCCCAGTATGAGGGTCGCGTGCGCGGCGCGGTCGGTCTTGTAGTAGTCTGTGGGAGCTTAGTACAACGGGGAACCCGACACCGGGGGAGGGCTGGTGTGCGCGCAAAACCACTGCGGCTGCCCGAGGAAAATTACCTCGCACAACGTCAACGTGAGGACGTCGTTCGCTGAAGCTCGAATGAGTTGGGCGTGCAAATTGTCATGCCGTAAGCAGAGGAAAGCGCGGAGCTGAAGGTACGGAACGATAACGACGGTGAAAAAGGGAACTATAACAGCAACAATCACTAGCATTTTGCAGCCGCGAGAGTCTGCAGGAGACAATTTTTCAAGCACTCGCGCTGTGTGCTGCATGTATTTAGGCTCGAGTGTTATCTAGTTCACTTCACAGCTCCATTTGCGCGTGCAGTGTGCTCATCCAGTCTCGCCTTCGCCTTCGACTTCGTCAACGCCCACGCCAACGCCCACGCCAACACCCACAAACTTGACCTCGCCTTCGCCATCGCCAGCGCCTGTATGCGTGACCTTGTACATTCCCCCGCGTTTATCCCCGATCCGTCCTCCCTTCGCGCTCGTGCTTCCCGTGGCGCGTCGTATCTGTTTCCTTCATCTTCTATTCGACTCGCCGCGTCCCACACTTGCTCGAACTCGCTCACTCGCCCTCGCCACTGTTACCCCTTCCCGGAGTTGACTGCACATCACCTGTCATCTGGAGATGTGCCTATAAGATGGTGTCGTAAATCCGGGTTGATACGAAATACGGGCGCACAGGGCCCGCGGTCGGGAGCAGGGTTCGAAACGATGTCGCGAATACGGAGCGAAGATTGCCGAAAAAACAATATGTGGGCAGAACCGGACTGCAGAAATCGTCAAATGCATCTCCTTGAGACAGCCTCAAATCATCCACATCGACTGCTGGGTGTGGGGAGGGATCATGGATGTGCACGCCTCAGACGAGAAGGAAGACGTGCGTGTCCGAGCGTCGGCGCACGCTGGACGCCGTTGGTATAATTGTATGAATCCACCTGGAGCAATTACCGTTTGTGTCTGTGCTTCGCCGCTATAATCACCAGACCCTTTAGTCGCGCCTCCATGTTACCGAATGAGCCCGAATGGCTCAGCCGGATTACAATTGCGCGGAACGCAGGCCCAGAGGACTCTGAAGTTCTCAAAGAGAAAGCTGTGATTTGGGGCTAGGGCCACGCGAAGCGAATGCGGCGTTCTTGTGCGTTTCCAAGTTCAGGCCTATACTGCACTACATCCCTCAAATTCGCCGCTCTTGATCACGTTGTGTTACAGCCTGCTCCCGCTACGGACTCTTAGCATACGATCTCCCGCCACTAATTATGGTACCTAGTACTATATATTCCCTCCCCCGCTCCCCTGCCTCGGCACGCGATTGCCTCAGGCTCCCTCGTCACCCCGCTTTTCCTCCCCTCCCGCTCTGTGAGCCAACGAGGACACTCGCGCCTCTACACTACCGTCCTTACCCGTCTACGCCATCTGTACCCGCCCAATCGACCTCTCTCCCGAGCGGGTGCGCCTACCCTCGTCCGCACCCGCTCGACCTCGCCCGCGCGACCGCAACACAATCGCGTGGATTCGATTTTAGACGTTCGATCATCATACATTGGTACCCCCAGTGACGGCGAATTACGTAGGGTCTAAATGATGTAAGGAAAATTCAACATCATATCACCCCCTCGTTTAGGCACATTATGATATGAATTACGGGGCGTGGCATCTCGGCGTTTTCGTCTAGCTCTAGCCCACTGCCATCGCTCCGAAGTGAGGCTTCGGCATCTATCATCTGTCCAGCCGCTTTCTTCTCCCGACGCCTCTCGCACGCACCGCATGGTTCCTCTTTCGCCTGCTTGTTGGCGGCAGCAGTAAGGCAAACCCCGCTCCTCGCGGGGACATCCGAAACATCACCATACGAGAGGCAAGACGAGAGGCAAGAAGAAGCGCTGAACTCGTCACATAATTGACTGAAGAACTGGTGTAGGTGATAAAGTTAGTGATGAATGTGTACGATATTTTCAATGCATAGCGGCTTGCCTTCTGAGCATACATCTGACGAAAACGTTCCGCAGTGAAGGCAACATCATTGTCAGAAGCGCTGTGGCCCTGGAATACCGCCTCCTTGGAAACTTCAGCATCAAGATCAAGCGGCTGAGCTATCGAGGGGTTGGTACTGATAAGAAAGAGGTTTCAAACTCGAATAAAATAGACATTCAGGATGGAGAGCGTACATAGAGCCTGCAATACTTTCGGGGGCAGTGAAAGAACTGGTAGGTTTCAACGCGAATGCTCTGTCCATGGGAGGTGGAAGGTGTTGCGAGAGGGTAAGACGAAAATTCGGAGTGAGCAAAGAGGCAATTGTGAGCACTGGATGGGGCTCTAATGGCTCAGGGTTTTATGTATCGTGTTCGCTCAAAACACGAATGTATACAAAGGGGTTCGGGACCTCGTGTTTGCACGACGAAAGCGACAAAGACAGCAATGCAAGCCCAAACAAGGCGCTCCAGACAATGCATGGACCGCATTGATCTGCATCGTTTGTTTTCGTCCAGGCTTTGCTGACATGCGTTCCTCGATTGCATATGTCCTCTTAACTCACTGTTTGCGTTTGTGCGCAAGATGTCCGAGCTGTGGTCCGCCTGTGGCGCATTAATGCTCTACGTTTTTGTGATCTCGTTCCTTTGAAGAGTCCATGTTCTTTGTCTCCTTCCTCTATGAAGCTCAAATATCCTCAACGCTACCTCACAGTTTCCCCCACAACCCCCGCCATGATTGCTGCTGTCGATCCACCGCCCGAAACAGTTAGCAATGATTGCAACGCTCATTCCACCTCACAGCATCCCCTTTGTCGCTTTCACCACCACTTCATTCTCCATCATTGCTGCCCGGTTCTGTGGAAGACGACAATGGATATCTTGGCCTTGAGGCTACCCTTTTCAGTAGTGCGGCGGTGTCAGCTGCCAACCTCAACGCGGGTGCCTTGGATCCCCTGGGCTCTGCTGCGACCGCTGAGACCCACTGTTCTGTGCCCTCTATTAGTCAAGAACGCGTCCATGTCATTGTTGCGGGAGATCCAGGCCATGAAATACATCCGGAAGGTGCGACTCGGAACTGATTCCCACCGAACACACTGCCTGACGACGTTTGGTTTGCACGCGAATAGTGATGATACTCCGCAATATGCTGGTTTGTAACCAGGGGGTGTATCATAAACGACTATCGGAAGCGATAGTAGTTCTAGAGCAGGTGCTGGGTGCGTGTTTTGAATCATTCTCTCAAGGATTTCAAATTTATACTTTCCAGGCAACACTCAACAGCGCTTTCGCAGCAGTGAGTGGACTGATGCTCGATGGGGACAATTCAGCCGTGGTATTTCGCAGGGTACCATTAGCCAAATGTCGGACCAGCCGGGTGAACCTCATTTAGCCTCCATAAACACCCACTTGTCGCTGCTTCAGGACGCGATATTGAAAATAAAAGCCGTACAAGATGGACTCGAAGCCAGTATTCTTGATATCAAAGCCGTACCCAACAAGGTAGACAGCTCCA